AGGACATTGACTTTTTTTGTGGTCAGTTGATCAGTCAGACACATTTTTTTATACATTTTTCACTAAAAGCATTATTTCCATAAAGCTTGGGAGGGTAAGGGGGGTGTCTTCCAGATAGCTAAATCTCACTGAGTGAAGGAGTAGCAGTCTGCAATGTCATCTCCACTCCTTACCTCAGGATAAACTCACTGAAATTAGAGGCAGCTGCATCTGAAGGAAGGAAGAATGAGGACATCATTTTTAGTTTTGTTTTCCTTGATGCAAGAAAATATGTTGTTATGGGGAGAGTCATGACTTCTTAACTGACTTAATCTTCAAGCTCAGGTTATCTGGGATGATGTCAAGGTGATGTATAGGCAAACTTTGGGAAAACTTTAGCAGGTCCTGAAACACTGAGTAGGAAGTGCACTGAGTAGGAAGTAGGGGAACAGTTTCAACACTGATACTGTGGTAGAAAGGAAATATGAAAGGCCTGCGTGCAACTTAGGTGCTCAGATCTCCTGCTGTTGCTTTGTGTAGGCAGTGCCTCCTTTCGGGCGGAACACACTGAATGCTGAGCTGCTGCAGCCTGGATGGGAAGGTTTACTCACAGCACTGCACCACCTTTGATCTGCTGAGCTGCTCTTGGATCAGTGCTATTGAGTCTGAAATGTATCCTAACCACTAGTCACATGCCACTGCAAGGTAATGAAGAGATTTAAGAAGTGGACAGCAACCATGAGGAATTCAGTCTTACCCCTACACACTTTAATTGGAGATAGGAGCCTGCAATGAAGGACCAGTAACACAGTCAGTGCACATAAAGATTGCCATCTCATAAAATCGACAGATGTAGATTAATACCAGATGAATGTATCTAGAACAACAGAACATCCTGTCACCAGGAAATATTTAACTGGACTTCACAGGAAAACTGGGGATTTTTTTTTGCAAGGGTTCCACTTGCAGAAGTTGCAAATGCCTGGAAAATGTGTTTTGTAATGAAAAGGGTAGCTAAACGTCTAGTTTCAATTGTAATATCAGGCATCAATCTGAGACAGTGGAGATTATTAAATGAAGAGCATTAGGCTTTTCTTATAGGATATGCTGTGCTTTAAAATGTATTTTATTGATCCTAAAATTACAAGATCAATTATTGACATTTTGTTGAGGATCAATCTTGGATTAAATGGCAAAATGAGGAAAAGTTTTTCATATGTACTATGTCCAAAAGCAGAAACAGATTGCCCTCCTCATGTGAACATTCATAAACTTTTTCTGATGATTAAACATTATGTCTGAAATATATCCTAAGTTATACCAGCCACTATAGCGCTTTTTGGTGAACCAAAGAAGTCCTACAGTGAAATCAAAGTTTTGAGTAATATCTGTACTACTTAAAATACGAATTCCCTCTAACATCATTTTTTTCCTGTTTTTAGATTCACATATATTCTGTCAATTACAATGCAAAATGTAAGTAACAGTTTTAAGCAAGGATGTTGGAGTGTGAAAAGAATTCATGTGAATTGCTAATAGGCTGGTGGGAATACATTTTTTTTTTCCAGATGAAGGCAAATCCTGTCGCTTCAAAGACAGCAGACTTGATTTTCCACCGTTTCATCCCTTGACTCACTGCTGCTACCTGTGAGAGGGACTGGAAGGCTGGGAGCAGCCTGTGACCCAATCAGTACTCCATGTTACCAAACAAGCAGCGCTGCATCTATTCTCCCCTCCCTTTGAACAGATGTGAGCAAAGCTGTGAGCAAATTAAAAACACAAGCCGTGGGGCAAAAAGCATACTTGTCATTACTTCAGCTGAGCAAAATGGAGATTTGATAGCACACACACAACATCTCTCTTCCGTTCTCCCTGTTTTTGCTATTTAAGGCAAAAGCCTGGTAATTAGCATCCTCCGGTGACATGAATCGATCGGGTTTGCATTCGCCTTGACACTCATGTGACAGAGAATGGAAAACAAAGGGATGGGATGAGTCCTCTCAGGTAATTAACCTACGCTCCAATGCTTCCCACACCAGCCTATTTTCAATTTCGGCACAGTACAGTTTATACACTCTAACATTATTGCTCAGAAGATAGAGTGATGATTCAGGTTTGCTAAAAATGGCTTCACCATACTGCAATCATGCTCGTGAAGCTTCATCTTGAATCCTGTAGTTACAAGCTTCTTCTCACTGAGAAATAAATACGTGTGGTGTTTTATCTGAAAAGTCACTCACCAGGTACCTGAAACACTTGTATACCATCTTTAAGAAAACATGGCTTGTTTGGTCAATTTGCCTACCATCATTTTTTCCCTGTTTTTTTAAAAAAAGTGTATAATACTGTAAGTGACCTCCCTTAATACTGCTGTCCATACAACTAATAAATAACTGAGAAATAATATGCCTCTGCCGCATCCCATTGTGCCAGAAGATCAATATTCCTTTGGAATAGATGTTAGGTATCATCTATGCCCAGACCCACTGAAGTAAAAGAAATGATGCCTACTGGCTTCTGTGGGAGCCCGACTTGGACATCATTCTGGCAAGCTGTCCACCACTAAACTGAGCTCCTGTGCAGGGGTCAAAACCTAAATGAGGGAAAATAGAAATCTGGGAACTGAAACTGAGCCACAAAGAAATATTCTAATTCAATGGCATCCTGAACAGATTCAAATAAAATGCAAACACCCATACACACACGCGTGCACACGCACACACAAAAGAAAGTTATGAATTTAACAATCTTAAAAATTCATAGATTAAAATTGTTCACATTAAACAATTGAGTAGAATAGGTAGCTTTCTCAACTTTCCATTTATTTCCCTGAGCACTGATCTTTGGAACATCTGGAGTTTCAGAATTATCTAGTCCACAATTCCTAGAAGAGTTGCGTAAAATACTGTCTTTTTGTGTCAAAAATCAATTCCTTAAGTAAAACTAAGATTCAACTTACATGAACAGCCAATTTTTTATTATTTTTTAAAGCCAACAACTATCACTTCTCAATCTGTATGTAGGCACCTTGCTGATCCGTCTTCCAAACTCACTCTGCAGCTGGGCAGTTCCTATTTAACTCAGTACAGGGTGCTGTGCCGTGCTATTAAACTCTTCTGCGTAGAGACCTATGTAAGGATTTAACCTCCCTACTTTTGTAACTCGTTTTTTGCAAGATATTTTGGTATATAAGCAAGACAGTATGCTGCCAATTCAATTCTGTGCCTCAGTTGATATTGTAGGTAAAGACTTTTAACTGACTTCTCTGCAAGGGGTTAAGAAGGTGATCTGCAGAGGCAGCACACAGCCAGCATGCAGGCAGCCATACAGCCAGCACACAACCAACCATACAGCCAGCACACAGCCACCATAGAGCCCATCTCCAGTGCTAACATGAGACATGCCCAGAGCAGATGTCCCAGCCTGGCCCTCTGCACAAGGAAATCTGCTGCCCAAAAGGTGCCGCCTTAGATTTCTGCAGCTCCTGGCAGCCTGGGCATGCTGCTTCTGACTGTCTTCTCTAGCTGAGGGCTGTCACTATGAGTTTTGCAGACCACAGACTGCAATTTCAAGACTTCTAAGGCATTCTGAATTTCAGGTTATATAAAGCGTGCAAGTGAAAACTCTTCAGAAAACAAAACAATGCAGAAGGATTTGGTTATTTTTAGGCTAAAATTGTCTCTCTCCAATTCTAAGGCTGTAAATTACGTCAGTCTCTCTGCAGCTAAAGGTTTTAGAACAATTTTCCAGGACCACAGAAATACACTGTAACTTTGCATTCCCTTAACTCTCTCTCTGGTATCTGAGACACGGGTGCTATGCAGCAGGCTCCAAACAGGAGGAACAGAAAGGTCATTTTGTAAAGCTCCATTTCAGCATAGGGTTCCTGGGGGTGCTGAACTGAAAGCAATCTGGAGAGCTGCTTTTGGGTTCTCCGTGCAGCATGAAATTAAGCTTTCACCTGTCCTGGACAGATGTAAAGACAACATGTGGTACCTACTTCCTTAGCTGGCACTTTCTGACACCACCTTGACTCTGGCATTCCAAAGCAGAATCCAGGAACAGCATTTAGCAGTTTCTTTCTGCCTTTTTCACACCTCCAAGTTCAGAAGGAGTTAACAGCACACAATCCTATTATTATTATTATCATTTCCCCCCTCCTATGGAATTAAAGTGGCCTCTTTGAAAGGAAAAAAAAAATTAAATCTCTGTAACAGGAGTAAATACTGCTCTGAAAACACATTCGGAAGATGCCTTCCAAGATGGGGGTTTTTTTTTTCTTCTTTTTTTTTTCTTTTTTTTTTTTCCTATTTCCTTTAAAACTGTGACCACTGCACCGGTTAAGGCTGTTTTACAATATATATATATTTCAAATAAAACTTTAATATTCAAGCTTACCAGATTGATGGATCGTAACAGGTAAAATGGAACTCTTTACAAGGTAAACCATGTAGTTGTACAAAATAGAATTAAACCTTCACCTGTGTAAACCGAAAAGAAATCCTGCCTCGCATAAAAACACAGAACCTGTTTACAAAAAGGAATGTGTATGACATTTGGACTCCCTTGTAACTGCCATATCCTAGCAACATCCTAGCTGTTTTAGTAAAGGAACTAATCATCGATTTTAAACTGCAGTGAATTTACCAAACATTTTCACTATAGACTTCTGAAAGCTTTTACAGTAAGAAGTTATCAACAAAAGCAGGCACGTTAGTGTACAAAAACGTTGTTGATTTTTTTCCTGTTTCTTTTTCAAAGTGCAGGTTTTTCTCGATGTGCATCTTACAAGACTGACAAATGTTTTAACTCACTAAATCTTAGAACAGAACTCAATTCTCCCGAGGAGTAGTGTAAACGTTAAAGATCCCCAATACATCTCTAGTAAACGTGACACGAATGTCTCTGCGTTGTTCAGAAATTTAGCTCTTTTGAGAGGTAAAGAAGCTTCATGACACCTTTTCCTTACACTGGCTGGTTATCATAAATGGGTAACTCTGGACTGCTAAAGCTGGAGACTGATGAATCACTTCAAGGGAACTAAACTTGGCTACGGAGGAGAGGCGGCGGGAGGAACCAACCCTTCGGCATTTCTTGCGCAGCCTTTGGAGAACCTAGCCGCCGGCGGACAGACGGACGCAGGGACAGCGAGAGGAGAGCAGGGAGAGAGAGCTTCCGCAGAGACAGACGCGCAGCGCGGGGCCGTGCACTCGGAGGCCGGCGGCCGCCCCGAGCCCCGCAGCGCTTTGCCCCCGGAGCCGCTGCCGCTGGCGGTGCCGTCGGGGCGCGGCGCTAGGTGCCGTGGGCGCAGGGCTCCCCGGGGTAGATCTCCTCGTAGGCGGGGGGCTGCTCGCTGGGCAGCGGGTAGCAGTACGGGTAGGAGGCGTTGAGCTCGGGATCCATGGGCGAGTAGCCCGGCAGCTCGACGGACGGGTGCCCGCCGCAGTGCACCTCCACGCCGGCCTCGTCGAAGACGTGGAAGACGCCCACGTTGATGTAGGAGACGGCCTGGAAGGGGCAGTCACCGGGGCTGAGCTCGGACTCGCCGCCCGAGATGAGCGAGCCCTGGCTGTGGCGAGGCACCCGCCGCCCGCCGCCGCCCCTCCTCCGCCGCCGCCGCCCGCCCGCCGGGGCCGCCGCCGCCGGAGCCGCTCTCCGCCGCCGCCGCCGG